CTCTCTCTCTCTCTCTCTCTCTCTCTCTCTCTCTCTCTCTCTCTCTCTCTGCTGATGTCTGTGAATTCAAAACGATGTCTGTAAGACATCAAACAATTAACTTGCTACAAACGCAAACCAGCCGAAATTAAATAATTTTCATTTCTTACCCTGGTGAAAATTTTTCTCATAATTTTTATACGAATTGGAACATTTTTCAGAAATACTCGGAAATATTCGAAAAGTTTACATCTTCTCTCAGAACTTCTCTCATACAAGTGAATTCTGAAATATTCTGAAATTTCTCATCTTATAATTTTTAAAAAGTATTTTTTAATTTTTTAGATTTTGTAACATTTCATCAGAAATTATACTTACAAAATAATCTTAAAAATCTTCTATAATATTCTAATCTAAGATATTTCATAATTAACATAAATGAAAAATTCTGAGAAAAGATATAGATTTCTGAAAAATATTTCAATTCGTATAAAAAGTGTGAGAAAGTTATAAAATTATGAAGAACTTCTATAGAAAAATTATATAGAAATTCTAAAAATTATATGAAAAATTCTAAGAAAAATTTTCACCAGAGTAAACATCCAACATTAGCGTAATAATGTATTATCTTAATATTAATTATAAAACAATAATTATTATTATTAAAATAATCTTAATAAAATAACATGTTATTGTAATGTCAGTGTTGAATGTTCAATATAGGTATTAATAATTTCTTTATATAAATAAATAAATTCATTTTTTCCCAATAGGATATGATTACAATATTACAAAAACACATTTATCCCTTTTCAGATCTTACACGATGGTACTGGTTCTGTTGATACCTGTAATCGGATTTGTGGCAGCAAATCCTTTTTCAAACACATTGAATAACCGCTTTGTCCCTCAAGTTCAAAAAGCGCTTTCGCTTTCCACGGAGAATCGTTTGGATATAATAGACGACAGTCCAGATAAAATAAATGAAATGGTAGAAAATACGAATGAGACTACTCTATCAATTCTGAAGCATATAAACCATCATTTCAAAGAATCGAAGACACGTGAAAATGAGACAAATGAAAAAAGGACACAAGGACGGAAACATAAAGCTTTATTTGTAGATTATCCTCTGTTATCGCGTATCATACATTATCCAAGGATGCCTGCGTATGAAAACGACAATTCAGAGTTGACAGCCAAGGATAGATCGGCAAGCGAGTCTGATAAACGATACCCAGAGAGCGATATTTTTTATATTCGACTTCCACCTATTCCATATATGTTTGTACCTGGTATCGGATATATCTCGCAACCACCCACATACTCGAGCGCTCCCTTGAAGCCCCCGATACCCTTCGTTCCTCAACTAGTCCAGCTACATCACGTGAGACCCGTGCGACCTCAACTAGCCTCTCAGCAGACCGTTAATTCCTTCATCAAATTGCCTATAGACTTCATAAGCAACGGCAAGCCCACCGCCGTTTACCAATGGCAAAAGAAGCCTGGCAAGAAGCCAACCGACAGTCCAATCACGAACTTGGACAACCTGTCAGCCGACTTCGTGAACAACGGTAAGCCGACCTCTATTTATCAATGGCAAGCGAATCTCAGGCCGGTAAAGAGGCCGGATAATTCGCTTAACAGTCTTGATATGGGACCTTACACCTTTAATGGCAAACTAACCAGCGTGTACTTGCTTGAATCGAATGATTCCACCACAATGCATCAATCCATTCGACACTCCAATTATCAAAATGTGCGTTAAATTTAATTTAATATAATCATGCCGAATATTCAAAATCGGAGCAAGCAATCATAATACGGAAGGAATTTGTAATGTCTCTAATGTACATTTCTATATGTATTCAATATAGATTAACTTTAATCTCGATTTAACTTATTACTTATTTTTATCTTTCTCTAGTTTCTTTTAAGAATTAGAAAAAGGTAAAAAGTAAATTAAAGAGATAATATACATTGATAGAAATAGACATTAGGCAAACCATAATACGAGTGATAAATATTCTGCTACTATATAGACAATCATTGAAACTATTTTAAAAATAATATATAATTGTATTTTTTTTCTATAAATTGCACAGACTCACACGGAAATTAAATAATTAATTTTAATAAAGTGTGTAAAAAATTATATATTATTCAAAGTTCAAAAATTATATATTATTCATTATTATACTATTGTTTTAATTTGTGTATATTATTGAATATTTATAAGTATTTATTGGTCCGTGCAATATCATGAATTTGTAAATATGTGAAATATATGTACAAATGATGTTAAGAATAAGGATATACATATCATTTTTAACCTTACCTGTAACGGCAAAGTGAAAAGCACATTTCCTACACTTGGTCCCTTATAGACAAATATTAACTTGGGACATGGGTTTGGTCAGATTGTCTGGGCTATATCCTGTCTGGTTACAAACATGCGCAATTCATTAGATGCGTAAGGGGATTCAATATCAAGTTTA